GACCCAGCTGCCAGTTTGTTAAGGTAATTTCAGATCTCAAGGGCCAGGCCATTCATATGCAAAGCTCTACTCAGCTTGGGTGGGGCAGGGTCTCAGGGAATCACAGGGTGAGCAAACAGCTATGGCTGATCCTCAGTCCTGTCCTAAGAGGCCCCCGGGTCTCAGTGTCCCTTGGTAATCGCTGCATGCACCTCTGAGAGAAAGCTGCCCTCGAGTTCCGCCCGATGCTAGACAGTCCAGTTCCTCCCCCTATGAGTCTGGGTCCCCAGAGACTCGCCCGGAACTGGATTTCAGAGCAGTTGGGAGCTTGTGACTCCCTCCTGATTGAAAAAGACACCAGCATTCTCTGTTGCCAGCCCTTTCCTTGCACGAGCCTCCGTACCTCTGCACTTTACTTCCACACCTCCTCTGAGTCTCAGTGTGCTTTTCTCTTTCTTTCTAGTTGTAGAATTTCCACTCAGCCAGCCTTCCTGTGGTTCTGGATGATGTCTGTCTTGTCTTTTAGTTGTAGTTTTGAAGTGGTTGTGCAAGGCAGCAATTTCAGGTGTTTACCTATGCCGCCATCTTGGTTTCTCCCCTCCCATGATGTATTTTTAAGACTTAATTTTTTTTAGAGCAATTTTAGGTTCACAATAAAATTGAGACGAAGGTGCAGAGATTTCCCATATACCTCCTGCCTCACACATGCATAGTCTCCCCATGACCAACATCCCTCACCAGAGCTATACATTTGTTACAACTGATGAACCTATATTGGCAGATCACAACTACCCAAAGTCCATAGTTTATATTAGGGTTCCCTCTTGGTGTTGTACATTCTATGGGTTTGAACAAATATATAATGGCATGCACCCAGCATTATAGTATATAGAGCATTTTCAGTGTCCTAAAAATCCCTGTGCTCTGCCTATTCATCCCCCTAAATGCTTTTTAAAGTTTATCATTGAGCATAGCTTTTGCCCACAGGATTCTGGGAACATAATTTCTGATTCCCCAACCACACCACATTTTTACATGAGTCTGTGTCTTTGTACATGCTGTTCCCTCTGCCCGAAATATCCTTCCACAACATTCTTATTTATGAACTCCTTACTCATCTTTAAGACCCATCACTTCTGGCACCATTTTTTCTGACTGACACCCTCCACCACCTCAGCCAGGTGATTAGTTCTCCCTCCTCAATATCCTTTCATCCTCCAGGGCTTCCCCCGACCAGGGCCCATATCTCATTCTATTGTGATTGTATGTTTCTGTGTCTATCTGCCCCACTAGACTGTGAATCTCCTTGGGACCAGGATGTCACCTCAGTGAGATAAGACTAGGATATAGTTCAAACCTAAAAAGCTGAAAATGAGTCAGTTGCATTGTACCACAACTGAAGAACGATTATACCAACACAGAGTTCCCAAAATATGTCCATGGAACCCTAGTTCTATAAAAATGCTCCCAACTAATTTATACAGTGGAGTAGAGGGGACACTGTACAAATTTCCCTATGGGGAGAGGCTGCTCTCATCAACCAGGACAGGCCTTCTGGTCTACCTGGCAGTTTCTTTCTCATTATAGAGCCGAGTTTCTTGATCTGGATCTTTAGAGACTATCAACCCCTTAAGATTACATACAAAATACGTGTTTGTGTGTGTGTGTGTGTGTGTGTGCATGTCTGTACATTTTTCTAGGAGGAAGTCCATAGTTGTTATTCCTAGTGAGTCTGACTCTAGACAAGAGAAAGGTTAGGAATCACTATGTTAAAGGAAAATGCTCATGTTCTTACTTGTACAGGGTGTCCCAAAAATATATACATACATTAACAGCTGATGATTTCTATTACCTTTTGAAAACAAAATGTATTTTAATAAACACTGCCTTTATAATTATTCAAAGTGTGTATGCATTTTATTTTTGGATACCCTGTATGTTAGCTTCCTGCTAGTCTGGTCACTGTCAGTCAGTCCTTCTCAGTCTGATCAGCTAATGTTCACTTACCAAATTGAGGTTCTGGAACCTCCAAGGTACTCCCCTGGCTGAGGGGCCAATGGTCCTTTTTGACCACATGGTATCACTCACATCTAGGCCTTTAGCTGTGATGTCTCCTTTGGCTGGAAAACCTCTCCCTGTGCCTTGTGATCAGCCCTCAATTATTCTTTGGGTCTCAGCTTGGCTGTCATTTCCTTCTTGAGACCCTCTTCAAATTTCCAATTCTGGATTAGGTACCCCTTCTTTGTGTTCCCACAGAAGCATTCCCACCTCTCCGGCCCCACCCCCAATCTAGGGCCATGTTTTCCCCTTTCGTCGTGCTTATTCCATGATGTAGTCACCTGTTTATAGGAATTGTCTGCTATCTGTCTAAAGCCCCATGAAGGAAGGGGCTTTGTGTCTAGCTTTTCCATGTTTTGCTGCCCACACCAAGCATAGTGTCTAGTATACAATAGGTGTCCATTAAATACTAGTTGAAGGGGATCATGCAAAAATAAGTACCTTAGCCTGGCCGGTGTGGCTAAGTGATTGAGCATTGGACATGTGAACTGGGAGGTGGCTGTTTGATCCCCAATGTGGGGCATGCAGGAGGCAGCCAATCAATGATTCTCTCTCATCACTGATGTTTCTTTCTCTCCCTCTCCTTTCCTCTCTGAAATCAATAAAAAATATTTTTTTAAAAAAGTACCTTAAGCCTTTCAGTGCTATACTTATGTGCTGTCACAGTCAGACCATTGATGTCATTTCCCTTACTCTTAGTGACTGTGTATAGAGTTGATAGTTTAAGATTTTCAATTAGTGAAACATTCAGCTAATCAATTTTTGTCTTTTATTGGCAAAATTTTCTTTCTCATCCAATGCATGTGTGCGCACACACATGCACAAACCTGCGTGTGGATGAGAGAAGAGAAAACATGTGCCACAGGGTGTCAGAATAAACATACCGGCATTTCGCAGAAACTGTTTCATATAGTCCCTGACGACCCTCGTTTTCGGGTTGTAGAAGCCATCTCCACAGTCATAATAGCCTGCAGGGATTTTTCTAGGCGGGTCCATATTGGAGAGTTGAGAGATACCTTGAAAGGATAAATAATGGATAATTAACTCACCACCAAGGCCAAATTCAAACCTAGCCTCTGCCAAAGTCCACTTCGGGCCAGTTGCTCATGTGAATATTGGTTCCGCTGTTGGACTAAACACTCCCCATTGAGGACCAGGAGCAAAAGCAGCAGGAGCAGTGCCCCAGAGCAGTGTCCCAGAAATGGCTCAGTGAGGAGGCGTCTTAGGAACTGGACCCCCATCTCTTTTCTTTGACCCCATCTTCCATTTCTAGGGACACCATGATAAGGACACATTTCTGGAGTCAGTGAGACCCTGAGGATGCCTCCGAGTTGGCCATGTGGATAGAAGGCATGTAAGGAGAGGAATGGCATTCAAGGTGCTGGCAGAGGCCAGAGCAGGTGCTTACACCTCACTCAGAAGCCCGGGGAGTCAGGCACGTATAAGGAAGAACAGAAGGAAAGAAATGGGCCAGGTGGGCAGGGATCAGGTAATAGAGAACCTTGACTCTCACCCAAATTAGCATCATAGCCGCCATTTATCGCTTATTATGTGCCAGGTATTTGGCTAAGCGCATGACTCCTACTATTTCACTTCATTCTCACAGCAATCCTGTGGCCCTGTTTTGCAGATAAGAAAACTGAGGCTCCAAGAGGTCAAGTGACTTGCTAGGAAAGTTATCCAGCTAGGAAGCGGGTAGATATCCAGTTTGTAACCTGTATATGAAGTTTCTGCTATCAGGGGAGGAGAGGGCCTAGGTACCATGCCCAGGACTGGGGACATGGGAACCACCACGAGGGCAAGAGGAGCTGGTGCATCTTTTAGGTCATGTTGTATATCTTGGAATACGGAGGCCTGAGCAGAGGGGACAGGGTTGGGATGAATAGCTTCCTGGGTTTCATATAATTTGTGGTTCTCGTAATTCCCTGTCCTCTGGACTGAGGCCTGGATGCCCACTGAACATGGCCCCATGCTCATAGCTCAGGGTCCTGCACGCTGTAGGCTCTCCTATGTTGGTTAATGATGACCACTAGGTACACCATTGACTAACAATTACTGAGCGCATTCTCCATGCCAAGCACTTTCTAGCAGTCTCTCCTGAAGCCTCTTGCACATGACCATCTCCCAGATGCTCAGAGAGGTGAAGGGGCAGCCCGAACCCTCTCCCTGCCCTAACAATGTCTGCCCTGGCACTGAGGGGGGCGCTGTTGGAGAGGTCTGCAGAGTGCTGAGTGACTTGGGAAGGAAGTGGGTGCTTAGGATCAAGCTGCTCTGCTGGGAGTCACAGGAGGAGAGGGCAGGGTGCAGGGAAGGTCATCGCACTGCCTTCAGGTCTGAAGAGGCCCAGCTTTGGCCAAACCAGCCACTGAGTGAGAGCTGGGGGCCTGTGGCCGGGGAGCTCTTTGCCTCTAGGCCTCTGTTCAGGTGAAGAGCGCATGACAAAGTCCGGGCCCCGTCATCACAAATCCAGGAGGAGCCATTTATAAGTTTCTCAAGTGGCTCCAGAACCTGGCTCTTTCGTGTTCTGTGACCTCTGCTCATTTCCTCCTCTCCTTCGGGTTACTTCAATATGCCACGGCCCACTTATTAAAAACTGCCTTTCGTCTCCCTCTCAGTTTGGGAGTGAAGGAGCCTGGGTACCTGTAGGCTTCAGGCCGTGGCAGATCTCGGTGTAAAACCTCCGGTCGTAGCCGTCACAGTAATGCCAGTTCTTTGCGTCATACTGCAGTCCGTCGGAGAAGGTGTACGTGCCCTGGACGACAAGGAACACACAGGGGATCTGAGGAAGCCCTTCTTTAACCAAGAAGGACAGACGCCAAGGGAAGAGGTGACTGCCCAACTGCCACAGAAAAGAAGTGGTAACTTTCACAGATGATGAGAAGAAATGGATGTTCAATGCTGAGCTGTGCCTGGCACTCAAAATATGACGAAATGTGACCTTGGGCAGATGACCTACCCTCTCTAGCCCTTGGTGTCTTCCTTTGTACAATTAGGATAACAATAGTACATATTTAATAGGGTTGATTCAGTGAAATTCAAGGAAATCGTAGATGCAAAGCATTTCGCACAGTGCCTAGCCTGTAGTAAGCACTCAATAGATGTTTAAAGTTTTTACAACTCTTTTATTGTTATCAAAGCTCAAAAGGTCAGAGCCATCTGTCACAGTCCTTTGTGCAAACACGTCCCTTCTGCTTTTGCTGCCTTCGTGCCAAAGGAAGCCCCAGGATGCAGGCATCGCATTGGCCTGAGCATCAGGAAACACGGGTGGAAATTCCAATACTATTAACTCACTGTGTGACCTTGGGTAAGTCACATCCCCTTCCTGGGGCTTCGAGTCTTTTAAGCTCTAAGACAAGGAGTGTTTCTTAATCTTTTTCAGGTCATGAGCCAGCCCCATACACACCCTTGGTGAGACTGATGAAAGTTATAAATCCTTTCCCCAGAGAAAAATATAGTTCCATACACACAAGACTTTTCTATATAAATCAGGAGCTTTTGCTGGCTCCCTGAATTCTGTTTGTGACCCACAAATTCCAGGTTAAGAATCCTTGGATTAGATGACTTAACACGATAGTATCAGTGGTGGTGGCTAATACTTATTGAGTGCCGACTGTGTGCCAGATACTGAGCTAAGCGCTCACATATACTGCTTCATTTACTCTCACAGCCATCCCAGGAAGTGCCTGATACTATTGTGGCAGGCGGAATAATGGTCCCCAAAGATACTCACATCTAATCTCTGGAACCTGTGAATATGCGGAGCATACGTGGGAGAGGGGACTCTGCAGGTGTGCTTAAATTAAGGATCTTGAAGTGTCAAGATTATCCTGGGTTATCTGGGTGGGGGGCCCAATGTAGTCACCAGGGTCCTTATAAGAGGGAGGCAAGAGAGTCAGAGTGATAGAAGATGAGGTGATGACAAAAGCAGAGGGAGAGGAGATAGAATGATGGAAGCAGAGGTCAGAGTGATGGGTGGCCATGAGCCAAGGGATGCAGGCAGCTTTTAGAAGCTGGAGAAGGTAAGAAAATGGATCCTCCCACAGAACCTTCAGGAGGAATGCCGGGCTGCTCACCTGTTTCAGACTTCTGACTCCCAGAACTGTAAGATACATGTTTCTGTTGTTTTAAGGCACTGACTTTGTAATGATTTGTAACAGCAGCAATAGGAAATTAATAAAACTCATCCCCAATGTATTGGATAAGGAACCTGGGTCTCAAAGAGGAAGTCATGGGCTCAAGGTCACACAGTAAGTGGCTTAACAGGATTCAAACTCACCATGGCCTAACATCAGGGCCTCTCCAGAGGCCCTTCTGGATCCAGAAAGAGAAGACCCCAGATCCCTGGATGTCAAGAGGAGGCACCGGATAGGGAAGGCAGGGTGGTGTGTGTGCATGTGTATGTGTGCATGTGTGTGTATGTGTGTGTGGTGGGAGTCCTCCTGTCTGAGGCTTTCTCCTCTGCAGCCGCCCTCCCAGGCTAATCACCTGAACAGCAAATCCCTTTTCCCAAATGGCATCGTATCGGCTCCCATTGGGGAAGTACAGGGTTCCTTGGCCGTGAAACATGCCGTCCTTCATATACCCAACATATCTTGTTTCAGTAGGGAGGATGTATTCGGCCTCACCCTCCATCCTGTAAAGACAAAGGGAAATCATTGAGCCCTGCATGTCAGTGGGAGGATCTGAGCCAGCAGGCACAGGAGACAAGGAGGAACCTAACCCCGGTCCTCAGATGTTATCATCCCAGCAATATTCTGCTTAAAACCAAAAGTTTTGTTTTGTTTCCTTCAAAAGCTCAAAAATAAGAGGAGCTGATGAAGGGAGGAGAGTGTGAGCTGTTCCTCCTCTTCCTCATAGAGAGGCTGTCCTGAAATAATCCGTCATTCCTGGGAACATCCCTGGGTAGGCCCAGAGAGGGGAGGGGTGTGCCCAAGCCACACAGTAAGCACTGTGAAGGAGAGACCAGGGCCAGGTTTCCTGGCAGCTGGCTCTGTGTCTTTCCTGCTAAGACCAGCCCAACCCTACCCATTGCACCACAAGTGGGATATTTGGAAAAGTATACAATTTGGACGGGTTACATGGGTCTGCTTAAGGAATGCTTTCATTCATTCATTCCTTTACTCATTCTCCATTCTTCTCCACTAGCTGGAAGTCACTGCTCCTAACTCTGAACTTCTTTAGGCTTTTGTTTAGTACTTCTGTTGGATGCTTGCCTAGTAATTGTATATTTCATCTCCCCTATTTAATCAAAGCATCTAGGACAGCGGTTCTCAAACTGTGGGTTGCGACCCCTTTGGCGGTTGAACTACCCTTTCACAGGGGTCACCTAAGACCATCCTGCATATCAGATATGTACATTACGATTCATAACAGTAGCAACATTACACTTATGAAGTAGCAACGAAAATAATTTTATGGTTGGGTCACAACATGAGGAACTGTATTTAAAGGGCCAGAAGGTTGAGAACCACTGATCTAGGAGGAAGGCCTTGGTATCCTCAACTCTTAGAATCATGTTTCTTCTTAAACAGATGCTCTACAAACATCTACTGAGTAAGAAATGAAGGAAACAGAAAGGTCAGTGAGATGACTGAATGGATGACAGATGCCACTGAGCCCCAGGCCCAGAGCGTGAAAGCATTGTGGTTAAAGCACAGCTTCTGAGCCATGCAGACCTGGAGTCCAAGCCTGGCTCCACCTCTCTGTGCCTGTGTGACCTTGGGCAAGCTCCTTCACCTCTCTGAGCCAGTTTCTCATCTGCAAAATGGGGATAATGACAACAACCCCCTAAAGGTGTTGTGGTAATTAAATGATGGCTACAAAACTGTAGCAGAATGCCCGGCATATACTAAGAGCTCAAAAACTGTTTTGCCTTTATTCTATCGCAAGAAGTAAGAAGAGAAAGAAATCTTCCTTCTTCTACTACTGCTTTGCTTGAGATCACATAATTTCTTTTTTTTTTTTAGGTTTATATTTCCTTTAATTCTTGCTCTTGTACTTGGCTTGTGATCAGGAAAAATTAATAAACATCTATCCTTTTCTCTTTTTTTGCTTAATCCCATCACATCATTTCTAAGCATAGTTTCCATCTAATCCTTCTCTGAGATTAGCTCCCCTTTTTATTACTGCAAATTGGACATCATTGTCCTTCTATAAACCTTCTACAGACATCTCCAGCTCACCCAAAAGGGAACTCACCCTCTTCTTTTTCAAAGCAGCCCCTCCTCAGAGTTCTCAATTTTCATGAAATGGTATCAGAATTCTCCAGTTCAAAGCTTGGAGCTGGGCACTGGGCTGGGACTGGAAGCAGTCTCTGAGTAGGACTAGGAGCCAATCAACTGCCAAGTCCTGGCAATGAAATCCCCAAACTCTTACATGTTTCTATTTCCTGCAGACCCACTGCCTCTGCCTCGGCCCAAATATATATGGAATGAAAGTATCTCAGCTTTGACGCTTGAGCAAGTTACTTCACTTCTCTGGGTCACATTTTACTGAACTGTAAAATGGGAATAAACAATCCTACCTGAAATTGTTGTTCTGAAGGTTAAAAGAGATAAAGTTTGTGAAAGTGTCTACTACAAGGTCCCTTTAAGAGGCACAGATGTTCAAGACATAATGAATCAAATGAGGCCCTTACCTCCCATCTACAAATTCTCCAATATATTGGCTCCCCGTGTACTGCATGGCGCCCGCCAGCTTAGCTTAGTTTCCAGGCCTTGGGACCCCGGAGTCTCAGTGTATACCGCCTCACTATGACAACCACGAGGGGTGGGCGGAGCCAACGCGCTCGCTCAACTTCCTGCATTGCGCACGCTCCCTGGCTCGCAGAAGCGCAGAGCAGTGCGCCTGCGTGCCGCCGGCTGCGCATGCGCAGGCTGTAGGCGGCCCTCGGCGGTCGGAAGGGGAGTTCAAGGAGACGGGGGCGACGCGGCTGCGGCTGCCTCGTCCGGGTCGGGGTTACCGACATCATGCCGGGGATAGTGGAGCTCCCTACTCTGGAGGATCTGAAAGTGGAGGAGGTGAGACTTGTCCGGGAGGCAGGCAAGCGGGGCATGTGGCTGAAGTTTCCCGGTCCTGGGCCCAGCCCGGCTTTAATTCAGCGGACCCTGGGCCCAGGCCCCTTTACCCCCAACCCCCCAACACAAACAGGTCAACCCCCCGGACGCCCCTTCCTCAGCTCCGGGAGTCGCCACTCCAGCCCGCTGTGGCTGGTGAACTCTCTCCCCTCCCCCACAGCGACCCGCTTCCTTACTGTGAGTTACAGTGGGTACTTTTTACTAAGCACCAACCAGGGGCACTTTACTTACCTCATGTCACTTAATACTCAAACCTCCCTGCGAAGTAAGTATGCAGCCCGGCTGCTCACAGGGGAAGGAGAGAGGCTCCTTACAGTAGCATCGTCGGTGCAGAGTGCATTAGAATGGAGGTGGAAACCCGCAGGAAAAGGAGATGGTATTGGAGAGTGAAGTTGCTAACAGCCCTGGGGAGGTGTTCGGCAATAGGCCATTTAAGGCACTCAGTTATTCAAGAGGTACCGTTTGAATAATTGCCGTGTGAGCACACACTGGAAAACAGCCAATGTCCCTGCCCTCATAGAGTTTATAATCTAATAAGGAGAGAGACGTTCGAGGAGCAATGACGGCACAGTGTAGCTAGCGCTGGAAGTGAAGACCGTATAATACCCAGGATAGCAGACCTGAGCAAGCCTTTCCCAGACGCCAGGTGGGATTTCCGAGCATCCTTCCAGCGACACCGAGGAGGGATATGATTGGTCTCGCCATGTTGTAAGTTAGGAACAGGTCATGAGAGAGGACGTGCTTTGCCCAAGGTCACCTGGCTAGTTAGTGGACGAGCTGGAATAGGAAACCAGCTCTGATTTTAAAAGCCATGCTTTTAAATGGACCTTTGGGGCAGACCCTTTTCTATTTAGGAAGACAAGTGCTATTTGACGTGTCTCTAGTGTTGGTGGGAAGCAGCAGTTGCTGAGCCGGAAGAGGTACCTGGGCTGAGGCAGGACTGGGAAGCAACTTGCACAAGGCCAGATTAAGAATTTTGGACCTTATCCTGTAAGTGAGGCGATGGGGGGAGGTGGACGGTTTTAAGGCAGAGGAGTGGCAGGATCAGGCAGAAGAAAAGATCAGGCCACAATGGAGAGAACAGTAAGACTAAAATTAGTGTGCCAGAAATTATATCCCAGGCACTGTATTAAGTGTTTTTACTCCACTTAATCTTATATGGCTGTGACAATGGCAACTGTTATTTTTCTCAGATGAAGAAATTTTTAGTTGTGTTCAGGGACGTTATCATAAAGTGAAATTTGCTAAAAGGTGGCGGCGGGGGATGGGGGGGTGAGTGCTGCCAACAGTCAATCTTTTGTTTCTTGCTCTCAACTTGCTGTATTTTTCATTGGAACTTTAATTTGGTACCACAAACAACTGAGGTTTCACTTTCTGCAAGTATTCTAGAATACATTTGCCTTTAGGCTTCACACAGTTAAATTGAGAAACAGGTAATCACATAAATAACTAAAATACAAGACAGTGTAATTAAATGCTATGGAAGAGGGGCAGACGTGGTTTAAGAGAGTATGATTTGCAGTTGTCGCTAAATTCTAGGCCTAACTGCTCAGTTACCTTGATTAGTCACTTTTAGCATTTGCAGACACCGTTATTTTATTTGTAAGATGAAGTGATTCCAGCTGTAGGATTAATTTCCTGAGGCTATAAAGGGAGCAGAGCAAACACTTCTTGGGCATAATGTAAGAATTATAAGCAGAGATGGAGTGAAGAGCTTTCTAAGCGAGGGTAGGATCTGAGCAAAGGTAAGGAGATGGGAAAAGGCAGGGGACCAAAAATGGGTTCTGGGACCAGGGAGTTCAGCGTTCTGAGAGAACAGCAAGAAGTTCCCGTTTGAAGTGTCATGGGCGATTTGGATCCAGAGGCTTTGAGTACCCCATAGGAAGTTCAGGCTTTATGCTTCTGTTAAACCCGAATCCTTCCAGGGTTTTGTTAATTTGTTTCAGTAGCAGAGTAAACTAAGAATTGTCTTTTAGGAAGATCACCACAACAGCTCTGTGAAGAGTGGATTGAAGAGAGGACAAGAAAAAGAGGGAGACTAGTCTTGGTGGCTGTTGACCCCAACATAATTGGTGACTGTGCGTAGAGAGGAAAGAACAAATATGTCTAGAATTGATCAGACTTAGCCAAAACTTAGGTATCAGAAGCAGGAAAGGTTGAGGAATCAATGTCAGATTTGCAACCTGACATTGGGACCAATGAAGCCAGAAGGAGGATGAGGTTGAGAGGCAAGTTAAACACATTTTGGACCTCACTGACTTTTGAGTGATGGTACACCCTACGGAGAAGGTAGTCAGCAGCTTGGGCTGGAAGATCCTTGTACACATTGACAATTTTCCGTAAAAAACACAAACTAATACTTATAATGTGCTTTCTGTGTGCTAGGCACTGTTCTCAATATATTAATCATAACAGTTCTCTCAAATAGGTACTATTATCCTTCATTTTACAGAAATTAAGTAAAATATAAGTCATTGTATAAATTAAGTACTATAAAAAGAGGCACTGACATGGTTTAAGGAAGAGAGAACAGGACTAGATGATTGGTTGTAGATTGTAAGACTTTTTCTGCCTCTTCCACACCTGCAGACGAACATAAACCTGTGCAGTGAGGCTGTTGTGAGGATAAATGAGGAAGGAGGTTGAAGTTCTGTGTTCTCTGAGACAAAGGGAGCTGAATGAATTTGAGAGGGTATTCACGGCGAGCAGCTGTGAAAGGATGTTTCTGTTGGGATTCGTCAGTCTCAGTGAAGAAGCAGGTGAGGGGAGATGATGACATTCTGAAGTTCTGTGCCACCTCAGTGATAGTGATGTCATGGGAAGAGGCCTGGTGGGAGGTCATTCTCTGGATTCCAGTTCTGTGGTTGCCACTGACCTGCTATGTCAGCTTGAGCACATCTCTTTTTCCTCAGGATAGAGGCAGTGTGTGGTTCTCATTCTTTATTTCCCTGTGATAGCATATGTTACATGCTCAGCAACATGGGTGTATCTAGATTTTGGTAGGACCTCGACTTTTATAGGAAAGTAAAGCAAAGAATTCCGTTGTCTTTTGGGGCATGATAGCTATGAAGGCATTTGAGTTATTAAATCAGCCATTTAAAGATATTTTAAGGCATTTGACAAAGAAATAAATATAGCTAACTTAACCCTTTGCACTCCGAACCATTCTGGACATTGGCTACCAGCTACTCGACGCTACTTTGCGGCGGAAACATGCATTTACAGACCCTCGTATTATTTAGTATAATTTTGGAACCAAGTAATGTATTATAATGATATTGGACTTATATGAATTGGGTGACATCGAGGAATGTATATTTGCAAAAAACACAATATTTTATTGTTTATAATTTTGTACAGTATGATAAGTTTTGTAACACTCCCCAATATGCATTGCAGGCTGATTAGTGCATGTTTGACAGTAATAAGTGGTTTGACGCCTGCCACCAGGTGTTTTCCTGTTAGAACACACAATGCAGTCCTGTTTTCTTTGTCCCACATCGGGAATATGTAGTTTATTGTTTAATCCGACACAAAACCCGCTGACATTTCTTGTATATATCTTAGTAATTTTACGATATTTTGATTTAATTTCTTGTGCCATTTCAAGATAAAACTTCAGGGAAACATGCATGTCTCAAAAAGTTGCGTTGAAATAACTCAATTCCCCGTAATCACTAATAAACTGCAATGTCCCCTGAGAGGGGACATCCGAGTGATATGCTAGAATTCCAATGTCCCCTGAGAGGGGACAGCGGAGTGCAAAGGGTTAATTTTTAAAATATATTAAGCTTTAAAAAAAAGTTTGCATCTTGATTTTTATTTTTCCAGTTCTTTATAGGTAATATAGCAAAACAAGTGTGTACCACTTAATTAACCTAAATAAACACTTATTAATACAAAATTTTACAGATTTTTAAACAAATTTACTAGCATTGCCATGGCAGATTTCACTTATATCATAAGTAAGTAATTGCTTTGATAATTGTAACAATTGTAATATTAATAGACATAGTCATAACTTTATTTTTCTCTTCCTGTAGTATATAGATGAATTACTCTCTTCATCTTTCTTTGCCTTTTAGCTTAGTAATAATTTAAGCTAAGCTGGGTGAAATTCATAAAATAAATTATGTAATTTTTATTATAGAAATAATAATTATAAAATTTTCACATAAAACTCCTTAATAAAATATTTGCAAATAAAATCCAGTGGTATCATAAAACATAATACACTGTGACAGGCTAGATTTTATTCTAGATACAATGGGTCAGTTTTAGAAAATCTATTAATGCTCTGCCTTACATTTATAGATTAATGAAAAGGAAACCTGAACATTTGTCTTTCCTGATGGAGAAAACAACAGTAAAACAAAACCAATTAGGATCAGAAAGAAACGTTCTTAATGAGGAAAATCTAAACAACAATATCGCAGACACTAGCAGCAAATGTCATTCCAAACTTTGAAGTTAAGAAAAAGGCATGGGTGCTGCCACCATCACTGTTCATCTGTGCTATCCTGGAGGTCTGGGTCTGAGCAATAAGATGGGAAAGAGAACAAGAAAGGAAGGGTAAATATCAGAAAAGAGAGGAAGCAGTTTCTATTTGTAAGTAGAAATTTTTCCATTAATTCTCTTGAGTTTTGCATCAGGATTGACAAGAGTTCAGTAAGGTATAGCTAGAGAAAAGATGCAGTGTACACATAAGCAGTAACCAATTTGAAAATGTAATAGAAAAAAGATCCTTGTTAAAGTACTGAGGAATGAACACGAAATGTGCGGGGTTCCTAGATGAAGGAAACTAACCAAGGGACACAAGAATGACCTGAATAAACATAGTGACATACTGCATTCTGGATGAGAAGGCATGATTCATGTAGTCTTACCTTATTTGTAACTATTGTATCCCCAATACCTGGCACAGAAGTGAATATTCAACAGTTACTTCTGCTAGACACTATTTTGGGTTCTTGGTGAACCAAAGTAAATGTTACAATTTCACTATAGTTTGACATCTTTATTGGATCTGTGTTGAAAAATCCATATCCTCTTGGACCTTACATTTCTAGCAGTCACACATAGGGTGACCACTGATGCAAGCTCACATGAGATGATTAGAGAAAGACTCTGAAGTGGAAAATTTGAACAGAGACCCAATAATGTAAAAATGCTCTTTTAATTTAATATATAACTAAATTTAATGCAGTTCCATTGCAAATTTTTTTTTTTTTTTTTTTTTTTTTTTTTTTTTTTTTTTTTTTTTTTTTTGTGGAGGGCGGTGTTCGTCTGGAAGAATAGCCAAGACAATTTTGAGAAGGAAGAATAATGGGAAGGATGGTCCTCCCAGACAACAAAGTGTTCTGATAAGTTATAGTAATTAAAATATTGTGGTACTGGCCCAAGAAAAGGTACAGAAAAGGCCAGCAGGGCTGTGGCTGCAGCAGCTGGTAGATAGCTAGGTGCTGCACAGTTCCTGTGAGCCGCGGTAGCTGCCCTGGTGCCTCAAAAAAGTACTGGAATCAAGTGAGACTGACAGTTGTAGGGATGCTACCTGGGATATACTCTATAATTTTTAAAAATTCACATTTTTTAGTACTTTATTATTAGTAATAACTTACTGGATGACATGATCGTACTGATGCTTTCTAGTCTCTCATCTTCTGTGATTGTGCAATCTTCTGGGGATTTTAGATATCTTTCTACTATTAGATATACTCTACTATTCTAGCACCTGTATTAGATAGGTATTAGCTAATCTTCTTGTAC